TATGGTCAGATAATACAGTATATGAAACAAAAAGACAAATAAACTATATAGGAAATAAAATCAAGAATAACTTAAATGACAAAAGTTTAAAACCTAAATATTTTGAATTATATAAAAAACTAAAAAAAAATGATCAAACAGAAAAAATTTGAATATCACCAAAAACTTTATAAATCACTTTCGGATAATTTTAAAAATAATCCAAAAGAATATTGGAATGTTCTAAAGGCAATAAAAAAGAAACCAAATATTGAAGAAGATATTTCTGAAATTTTAATGAATGAAAATAAAATCATAAAACATTTTCAGGATTAGGGTACACCAACATCATATGATAAACCCTTTGTAAATAAATTGGAACGTGAATTAAATATTCTAGAGGATAATATTGAATTGAATATGGAAACTGATGCACCAATTACCTTTGCTGAGGTAAAACTGGTCATTTCAAACCTTAAAGTAAACAAATCAGCAGGTCCAGATAGAATTGTGAATGAAATACTCAAACATTCACAACCTGTGATAATTAATTCTATTGTAAAAGTTTTTAATTTGATTTTAAAGACAGGTAATTATCCAGATTCATGGAAACTATCTTTCATGATCCCTTTACATAAAAAAGGTGACAAGTTAGACCCTAATAATTATAGAGGAATTTCTCTTATAAGTAATCTACCAAAACTTTTTAATGCCATATTGAATAATAGGCTAATCAAGATTGTTGACAAACAATTAAGTTATTGTCAGTTTGGTTTCAGAGAAAATCACAGAACAGCTGATAGCATCTTTTTATTGAAGTCCTTGATTAATAAATATCTTCATAAAGAGAAAAAAAAGATTTATGCCTGCTTTATAGATCTGAAAAAGGCTTTTGATTCAGTATGGAGAACTGCTTTACTTTATAAATTATGCAAAATGGGAGTTGGCAGGTCTTTTTACAGAGTTATAAAACAACAATACTTAAATACTAAATCATCTTTGAAATACAAAGATTATGTATCAGAATTTTTTAATATTGCTAGAGGGGTTAAACAAGGAGACACCCTGAGCCCCACTTTATTTAATGTCTTCATAAATGATATTGTAAAAATTTTTGAGGGAAATGATTCAAGTCCCCGTAAGCTTATAAATAGTAAGGTGGGATGCCTCCTTTTTGCAGATGATCTTTTGATCCTGTCAGAATCGAAAGAGGGTCTTCAAAACAGTTTAAATAATGTTAAATTATATTGCAACAAATGGCAACTCTCTTTAAATACAAACAAAACAAAATCCATGATTTTCAGTCAGTCCAAACAAAATGGTGAAACATCACATATTTACTATGAGAATGAAGCCATAGAGAGCGTATCAGAATATTCATTTTTGGGAATGTTGATAAAATGTAATGGAAATTTATCACAAAGTACCTTAGAGCTGACAAAAAAGGCAAAAAAAGTATTTTTTGCAATAAAATCCTATACTAAATCATTGAATAATCTACCTATAAAAGTAGCAAATAACCTTTTTGATTCTTTAGTAAAACCAATTATGACCTATAATTCAGAAGTAACATATTTGGATACATATATTTCTTTTCATAGAGCCAAAAACAGAGCCTTATCTTCAGGAAAACAAATTAATCAACTTGATTTTACAGACAAAACCCCTATTGAAAATATGCATCTTAAATTTTGTAAATCTACTCTAGGAATAAGAAAAAATGCATCCAATTTAGGAGCAAGAGTTGAATTAGGAAGATTGCCTATAGAATGTTTTGTTAAAACACAAACCCTTTTATATTTAGCTAGACTATATAATAATAATATTAATCCATTGATAAAGGAAGCTTTTTCTCTAGCACAGTCTCTAGATTTGACTGGAACTTATTCATGGTAAACATATGCAAAAAATATTGTTGAAGAGACTAATATTGACCTTAATATTTTTTCTAATTGTAAGGACATAAAAGATGTAAATAAAATAAAAAACGATATAAAGTTAAAAATGAAAAATAGATATGAAGATTTAATTGAAACTAAATTTGAAAACATTGATGATAAAAGTAAATTTTATCTATATAAAAAACTTAAAAAGGATTGCAAACTAGAATCTTATCTAAATATATCTAATTTTCAGATAAGGAGATTGATCACTAAATTTAGACTAAGTGATCACTCCCTCTTAATTGAAAAGGGGAGATATTTTAAAATCCCAAGAGAGGAACGACTTTGTCATAAATGTAAAATACTAGAGGATGAGAAACATTTTTTACTCTATTGTGATTATAATAAAACACTAAGAAATGCCTTTTTTGAACACATATGTACTGAAAATAATAACTTTAATAATTTAAATGAAGAAGAAAAAATTCATTATTTACTAAATCCATCAACGCCTTTACAAACAAATAAGTTAGGATCCTTCTTGAAAAAGTCATTAGAACTGAGGGCAGGGGACTCTTAACAACTTGTTTGTTTTTATAAATTTTGATGCTTTTTTATTGTGTTTGTTTGATATGTATGTATATATGTTTATTGTGTTAATACATGTTGGTCACAAACTGTAAAGTTTATAAGACAATAAAATATTTGATTTGATTTGATTTATAAATGGTAGAATATATGCATTATAAAATAGTTGTCTTGTGTGTATAGGCAAATATACTTTAATTTTAAACAAAAGTGATATTTTAGATGAGATAATCTTGCATATACGATCAATATGATCCTCCCAGCTTAAATTTTCATCAATGTCAATTCCAAGTAATTTGAAAGAATGGACATTTTCAATACATGTTTCATTGACGGTAATACATAATTCTGATAGTTGTGTAAGTTTTTGTTTTGAACCCAATTTCATACACTTTGTTTTTTTGTGCATTAATTTGCATACTGTTATTGTTACACCAAGATTGTATAGCATTTAAATCATTTTGCAATATTCTGTTTATTTTTTCAATGTTTTTATTATGAAAATGCAATGTTGAATCATCAGCATATAAATCCATGTCGGATTGTTTAACATGAAGTGGTAAATCATTTATATAAATAAAAATAACAGAGGACCTAAAATAGAACCTTGAGGCACTCTATATTTTACAAACGATTTATCAGATTTAATGTTAGCGTATTGAACTTCTTGTTGTCTCTCAGACAAATATGATTTTATTCAATCTATCGTATGTTCTCCGATATGATAAAATTTTAACTTTTCTAAAAGTATGGCATGGTTGATAAGGTCAAAAGCCTTACTGAAATCTAAAAACACAGTTCTAAATAATGTTTTGGGAAATTATGCACTATCTTTTGATGCTTCTAAATTGATATACTATTTTTGTCGTCATTTCGTTCGCCTATGTCACCCTGCTCAGTCGCTCCGTAATTTTCATATCACAGTTTTAAGACGTGAGCAAAACTTACCAGCGACGTCACAATGTATGAGAAGATGTTTATTAGCGATGTCACAATATGTGAGGAGACTTTAAGGGTTTAGTCTTTGAAAAGGTATGTCCTATGAAATTTAGAGCGAGGGGCTTGCCCTGAGCACTTAATTTCATAGTATATACCTTTTCATAGACTATCCAATTTAGCACATATTTACAACTCAAGTAATCTATTAATTGGTCTATTGATAGCTTAGTTTGGCTGACTACTGGTATCAAAGGTTTTTGTTAAACGGAGTTCATGGACGAAGTTTTATGTTTTGTAAATCTACTCACTAGTAACATAGTAAAATATGTGATTTCAAAAGGCCCTTGACTCCAGAATGCAAATATGGTAGCTGCTGGTGTAAGTATTTACATTGATATGAAGCGATGTTTTACTAGATTTACTTCTTTACATGGTACTAAGATGACAAAACATGTTTACCAAAAGCAGGCAATAATCAATTTCCAGTCGAAGCTTTACATGTTTTGAAAACATTTTTCAATTTCACAGTAAAACTAAAGCTATAACAGATTTGAAACATATATATAGTATGTCCCCATAGATAATCTAACGAATATGCATTAAAAAGCAACTACCAATAGATCAAAGATTATAGGTTTCGTGTTTTTCTTTTTTACTTCAAAGTAAAAACTAAAAGATTTGTCAGAATATGTATATATATATATAGGTGGCACATTCCCTTCATACATTATCACGGTGTGTTAATTCATGACATAGTCCTGAACATGCATGAAATATTTTCCACTGGACATTAAGCAACCAACAATCAATCAATCAATCAATTCCTGACAAAATAGATCAATTTCCTGAAGATAAAAAAAAATCATCATCAAGTTGCCTCAATTTCCCTTATTTAAATGAAAGAAACTTGCATTTGTCAAAAACATTTTTAGATCAGAAGATTTTAATAGCATGATATTTAAAAATCAATGTGAAAACTAATTACAAACTATTTAATTTAATTTGGGACACAGCATTTAATTTCAAAATAGCCTTTGGCAATTTTTGTTTTAATATCTTGATTACGATACAATGCAATCTTACCCTTGTGGTTATTCATGCGTAATTACTTAGTACAGGGAAAAAGTATGTACTATGAAAATAAGAAGGCAAATTCAAGCAATTAGATTGGACGAGAAGTTGTAAGTATGTGCTAAAATAAGATTATTTGAGTCGTGAGTGAGGGACAAAAGAACATAAATAACACGATAAACAAATAATCTTGTTTTTTCTACTTTCCAAAAAGTTCACACTATGTCTCGCGGCTGATATTTAATGATATCAATGTAAACAAAACCCGATAATTTATGCATCCTTTTTGCATAAGTTCTAAATAATGACCACACCTGTATCGTAACTGATTTCATAGTACAAAAAAGATATTTCTTACTTTTGTAATTGTACCAACTCCACCCCTCTCCCAAAAAAGAAATAAGAATATAAGTACTCATCCCCAAGAAAAACCAAACAAAGAGAGTTAGTGCTTATCACTGTGAACTTGATCGCGTTGCTTATGTCAAAATTAGCAAATTTAACACGATCTTATTTACATACTTAAAATGTTTATTTCAGATCAAAAATACCTAAATGGAAGTCAAAGATGAAAATTATTTCAAAGCTGCTTTCGCAAAAATGCACAAATCGTTACAGGAAGGCCTATTTTACGATGTTACGCTGAGATGTGGCACAACAATTATCAAAGGACACAAGGTTGTTCTATCTAACTTATCTGATTATTTCAAGAATATGTTTCTGTATAAAACAAAAGACGAACAAGATGAGAGTGAGGAATATTCAGTAGACAGGAGCATTATCAAGCCACAAGTCATAGAGCTTATGGTTAATTTTGCATACACTGGCAGAATTATAATAAATGATAGTAATGTCCAGGATCTTCTCATTGCGGCTAATTTTCTACAAGTTGATTTCGTTTCATTGGAATGCGAGAGATTCATGGTTAAAAAAATTGACAAAGAAAATGTAATATCTTTGATAAAATTTGGATGTCGGTTTAATCTAAGTATACTGCTTGATGGAATATGCATGTTTGCTTCAAACTATTTTCATGAGCTTTCAGACATGGAATCGTTTTTGGAATTGTCTATAAAGGAATTTGAATCCATCATTGATAATTACAATTTCACAGCCATGAAATACAATATTCCAGTACATGACCCCGAAATCTGTATTTTCAAACTTGTTGGGAAGTATTTGTATAATAAAACACTGGAAAAGCATGATCAATTTAATAATGCAGATGTAAAGACTTTATTAAACACGATTCGTTTTCATGACATACTCGATCTTGATGATTTGAAAGAATTCGTTGAAACACATTCCGTTATAAATGTTCCAGACATTAGTAATTTACTAATGAATCGTCCCAAAAATATGTCAAATGTTCGAAAATCTAATCTAAAATACAGAAAATATTCCAATAATTTCAAGACATTCATCAAAGGGAGACCATTTAGCGATCGTTGCACTGGGGCGTATAATGCAGGAGAATCCACAAGTGGTAGCCATAGTACCGGTATTAACGATAGACCGAAGAAAGTAAAGCTCCACTTTATAGGGCGTGGATTTAACCATCTTTCAACATTAGTTAGAATATCGATAGTATACAAAAGCGGCGAAATAGTTTCCCATGGACCAGTACGCTACAAATCCGATGTCGAACATGAGTTTGATCTTGACGACCATGAAGTAATCACAAAAGTGTTTTTAAAATATGGAACATTTATTTTTACCTTGAAATTTTTGACAAACTATGGCAGAATTTTAGGCCCTTTTGGTGATGTTTACAATAGTTTTCCATGGAGATCCGAGTCAACTTCTTCAACAGGTTACTTACATTCTTGTGTGTCAATACAAGGTAGAAATAACCAAACAGACTATATAGAAGGTCTTAAATTTTCCTGGGTAACGTATTGTACAGAACAAAATTGTAAAACTTGCTCGGAAGGTTTTGATAGAAATGATGATAAATATTAGGAGTTGCACCAAAGACCTGGTATGAGAGGGGAACTTTATTACCTTAGCTTTATTATGTATATCTTAATATGATTACATTTTGGTGAAGACAACAGTTCATCTATGATGAAATTTAGAACAAGAACAATGTCAGTTAAAGATAATGAAAATAACCAAATTTTGATGTAAATAACAGATTTTTGATAGCTGCCTTTAAAGAACTATTCACAATGTCAACTGCGAGATAAGAATCGTGGATTCCATGTATTGTTGTTTTTTTAAACTGGATAATCTGAAAAGTTTGTTCTGTATATTAGGGAGAAATATTTTAATAACTTTGGCTTCTAGATAACTATGACCTTTTTAAACCATCTATGATATACGTATATTGTCTAAGGACCTATGTTTGTATGCATGATATCATAAGTTCATTACTAGAGCTCTATATTTATCTTCATATTGATTCGGTAAAATTCAGCAGCAAGTCACAATTTGAAGCATTTGGGCCAGTGAGCGTCGCAAACCTATTTGAAAATACTTTTTGTGTCGATCACATGCTATCAATATGATGAAAATCTTATTACTAATTTATCGAATTGGAATTTTTTGTTTTTCTTCAGACTTCATAACGTTGTGTCAAACATTATGACGTCGATAATAAGTCCGTGTCAAAGTTACTAAGGAGAGGGTCAATCATATTTGAGATCACAATGCCGATATGTGCAATATTTATAGACATCAGAGCAAAGTGATGTAGTCAGAGGAAAAACCGATAAGTAAAAAAAGAACAGTCACAGTCCGAATTTTAAAACTTTTTAAAAAAGTATAAAACAAAACTTCACTGTTTATATTTTTATACTTTTCAAAGAAAAAGGACGAAAATTCACAGTTACTATATCATAATTAATTTAACAGTTCATCTAGTTATTTTCGGTTTCGACACATTGTGTTTCATAAAGACAAATTAATAATGACCATGCAAAATACTTCAACTATGATATTAAAAGAGAGGCGAAATATACCAAAGGGGCATTCGAACTCATAAGTCAAAAATAAACTGACAACGCCGTGGCTAAAAAAAAAAGACCAACAGACAAACAATAGTACACAAAACACAACATAGAAAACTAAAGACTAAGCAACACGAACCCTACCAAAAACTTGGGGTGATCCCAGGTGCTCCGGAGAGGTAAGCAGATCCTGCTCCACATGTGGCATCCATCGTGTAGCACATGTTAGTACACACCCAGTAATAAGTCTAAATCGGTAGGTCACATTCGGGAAAAGGGGACGGGATTGTAGTTACGACATTATGAACATATCCGCTATCGTCTGTGAAACGGATATTCCATAACGGTCAACCAACTCGTGATGACGTCCGTGAAATTTACGAAGGGATGATTTCAACTTTACCACTTGGAACTCTTGGTTTAATAGCTTCCTTGTGAGCAGCAACCCTCTATCATGGAAATCATGATAGGAAATACAAGCCCTGGAATATCGTATCAATGGGAAATATATACTACGTATGTAGGCGCTGCTGGAATGTTGCTACATAGAAATGGAAAGATCACAATTGGGAAGCTAAAATCATCTCTTTTGTTATAAAGTTTTGTTTTCAACCAACCCTAATTGTCAATTGCTAAATGTAAGCCAAGATATGAGACAGACTTAACTGTATCTGTTGTATCCTTTATCTCAAGTTCGATAGGATAGATGCGTTCAACATAGTCACCAAATTTTTAATTATTTAGTGAGAGAATTTAACTTGTGAGTAAAATTCATTTTATGTCATAAATTACGTTACAAGATTACCAAATTATTATCTACGTATATGTAAGAGAATGATAATCCCTTTCTTCATGGTTAAATACGAGCGATAGCGAGTACTTATCATGAAGAAAGGGATTATCATTCTCTTACAAACTTAGAATATTGTAAAGTGCTCAAGGCGCAAATGATCTCTTGATTGGTTGTATTCAAGAATTTGTTTCATTATTGGTTGTTGGTGTAAATTAAATGTTTATAATTGATGCATGATTTCATTTATGGGCTAGTTTTAGTGATGTAAGGACTTTCTTTTAATTTGGGAAATATTAAAAATAATGTGTCATAGACAAGATGTAAGGTGACACAGCAGTACAAAGTACATGTATATGATTCTTGACTGTGAGTATGAATGTAAATCTTATAACATTTGAGCGAGGAATTATCCTTTTTTAATTACAGTTTCAATCAATAAATAAGTTGCAGTTACAACAAATTTTATTCCTCCGCCAATACTTCAGTCCGGCTTTTTAAAACTTTTTTATCATGTCTGGGAAACGTTCTAATAAAATGCCTTCAAAAGTTTTAAACTTAAATTAAATTTCGGTTATTTTTTATCGGAATTTTGGAAATAATTATTCTCTATTGTTTATTTTTAGGTAAATTAATTGAAGTTATTTATTTTCATAACAACATGGGCACAAATTTTACTGCAACAGTAAACTTCAACTTATTTTGATTTTTTTATTTGTTTCATAATGCAAATTTTAGTTAAATCCAATCACTGTGATAAATCCTTTCAATCTGGTAAATGTGCTTCAGGGCAGTTGTAATTCATTTATAAAAACTCTTGAAGTTCATTTTGAATTGTAAGAAGGTCTGCACAATAGGATAATCCCTTACTAAGAACATGATTTACATTCATTCTTTACAATTAAGAGACACCAAATTCTACAATTTCATTGGTCGAGAGCACTTTGCTATATTCTAAATAAATATTTCATTTTTAGAAACTCTTAATATATGATACTTTGAAAGGTTATGCCTTAAGCAATTACTGTTCAACGTTCATCGTATTAATTACCCGGACCATACGCGTATGGTCGGACCATATGAGTATATACGCATATGGTCATGACCATACGCGTATGGTCCAAATACTCGCATGGTCCGGAACATCATCAATAACACTCTCTTATATGAGTATATCGTCAATAACACTCTGTCATATGAGTATATACGCATATGGTCATGACCATACGCGTATGGTCCAAATACTCGCATGGTCCGGAACATCGTCAATAACACTCTCTGCGAAATGTGTTAACCAAAGGCTCGAAATACTGTTTCAGTCAAGAAAAAACTGAAATTCATCCATTTCGTAGCATTACAGGATGTAAACCTGCGTCTACGTCCCATACGTCGGAAAATTATATCAATTTAACGAAGCTTGAATTATCTTTTTCTACCAATTGAAACAAATGTAAAAAAAATCTTACGAAGGGCGAAAGAATAGCACAACGCAATTTGAAAAATGATAAAATAATTGAAATTAAAAAGGTAGATAAAAATTCAAATTGTGTTATTTTAGACAGACTAGACTTCATAGCAAAAGTCCCAAGACAATTGAATACTCAACATTACTGCCAATTAGATTCATTTAACATAGCGGAATTGAAAACCTGGGTCATTGAGTATATTAAATCATTATACGACCAAGGCATTATCGACAAAATATCATTTGAATTTTTAACAAATGGTCAAAAACTAAGAGATGCACGTTTAGGGAGAATTTATATTTTACCAAATATTCACCGTCTTGAAACGGAGACGTTCAAACAAATACAGCATGATGGATTAAATGAATGGAATGTATTTACACCTAGCAGACCAATTATATCACAGTGTGGTTCCGTAACTAAACTTATCGGCCATTATGTAGAATATTTTCTTATACCAATACTAGAAGTTCAAAATCAGTCTACATATAAAAGATACTATATCATTGAGAAATTAAAACCTACGGCAAAAAACCTTTTGGTTTCGTATGATATAACACAAATGTTTACTTATCGTCCTCAAGCTGCTCTTCTAAGTGCAGTTGAACGAGCATATGGCAATTTTGACACATTAAACTTCAAAGTCAATGCTCCGCCAGTTAACGTATTCATACATTTCGTGAAACTCATTTTAGAAAACAATGCATTTGTATTTGATGGGGAAATTTATAAACAAATAATAGGTACGGCAGTTGGTGCAGTTCCTTCACCAGAAATCTGTGACATACTTATGTTATCAAATCATTTTAACCCTTTATTGAAGTTCACCTATGAAATCTCAAACAATAAAATGTCGTTCCTAGATGTTGATGTAATTAAAGGTAAACAATTTGCAACACATGGCATTCTTGACCTTGAAATACATCTTAAAGAAACACATTCTTTTCAATATCTGCTTTGAAATAGCTGTCACGCACAGCATGTTTTCCGAAGATTTATCAAGCAATACGGCAGATAAAAAACACAAGTGACCATAACAAATTAATAAATAATCTAACTAATTTCAAAGTGAAATTATTAGATAGGGGTTATGATAACGTCGAAAAAGATGATATTATTACGAATGCTTTATCAATTGACCGTACTGAATTGAAAAAACAAATCGAAGGAAAAAGAAAACATTCCGTTTGTTTTAATAACTAAATATAACCCATATTTACGTAAAATAAAAAAAAAGTATCATGAAACACTGTCATTTATTGCAATCTGACGAAGAATATGTACAAGTATTCAGTGTTAAACCAATAGTTGCGTATAGCAAACATAAAAGTGTAGGAGATGTGCTTACTAGATCAAAGTTAATGATTTTAACATAAAATTGCCTGTTGGACCCAAGATCTGTCATAATATCTACATCTTTTGATGAAGAATTAAAATATAAATATATCAATATATACATGGATAATTTTTATATATGATTATATTAAAGTAATGCATCTTAAGATGACCATCCCAAACCATTAACTGTTGAAACACTTAAATAGTCTCGGTTCCTATCAGGCATTATGGGATGCGTGGTTGCATGGGTGTTTTATAATAACAAACTAGGATTCAGCATTGGATTATAGGAGTTTGAAAGCACCATGCATCATTTAGCAGCCTCCGTCGAAAGTCATTCTAATTTAAATGTTATTTTGGGCATATGCAGAATATTTTCCATCCAACCTCTGATAACGTTAAAAAAGAAGCGTGGATACCAAAAGGAAAAATCATAACTTATACATTTATTCAAGTTGAAGAAAGAACAAAATCATTGCATAAAACTAAAAACGACGAATAGAAAAGGAACTGTCTACAAAACGCTGCATGAAAAACTAGAGCAACCCGAATTCAATTAAAAGCCTTGGGTAATCTCGTTTGCTTCGGAAGGGTAAGCAACTCCTGCTCCACATTAAATTTCTGACTGTGCGTGTTGGTCATGTACAACGTAGGGATGGTTCATACGACATTAGCATGTCATTGTTCTGAATTTGTATGTAATAATACTTGCCAATACACGTTCAGACCTGCTTAATAGCATTGAAATATTACAAACTTGTTTGTTCAGAATAAAAAGTATGTATGGTTATTTTTAGATTTCACTTCAATGTATGCTAAAAAAAACCCAACTTTTTGATATTTATTTTATTTCAAGAAATTATTGATGTAGCTTATTTCAACAGAATATTGTCTTGTAGTTACCATATATTCAATAAATATTACGTTTACTTACGTGTA